ATTAAATCACAAAGCTTATACACACAATGTTGTATGTAATAACGTTGCTATTTATACAGTTCATATAGTGACCGATAACGGTTTTTTTTACATAAAATGGATAAAAAATTTGTCAACGAAAAAAGGAATGTACTATTTTTTTTTTTTTGATAATTGTTCGGCTCACCCAAAAATTCTGCAAAAAACATTGAATGCAATTAAAATTATATTTTTTCCACCAAATATGACTTCCAAGCTGCAATCAATGGATCAGGGTGTAATTAAAAATTTAAAGCACCATTACCGTAAAAAAATAATGCAAAGACATTTACGTAAACTTGAATTAAATGAAGCCATCACAGACGTAAATTTATTAGATTGTATACATATGCTCTACAGTTCTTGGAAAGCTATTTCTACGTCTACGATTTCCAACTGTTTTCGTAAAGCAGGATTCAGAAAACCAGAATTTAATAAAGGTAAACATAAATGTACAATATACACATAAAAAATATATTCATATGTATAAATATATAAAAGTACATACAATTTTTCTTGATCACATTTAATAATTTACATATAAATTTAATTGTAATATCAAGAACAAGGGCAGTGCGTATGAACAATACATAACCTTGCAATACATATTGAAAACGGTCGACGTATATATTTCACTGATGCAAATGTTCTACAAAGGTACTTGAATCAACAAAAATGTTACTAATTGAGGGATTTCAGTACAAAACGCACCTTTTCCTTATTTATTATTTTTCAGTGTAGCCGGTTTTCTGTTAAGGGTATATTGAATTGGTGTAGAGTCAACACTGCAAACCATACCTGAGGATTTCAAAAAAATAAAATAAAAAATATTCTTATATTATTAATAAACATATTCCATTACAATTTGATTTCTTTATTGATTTTTTTTTTTTAAAATTTAAAAAATACGTTTTCTGCAAAACGAACATTAACCGGAATAAATAACCGAACTTTTTTGCATGAAATCGGAAAAGGTACGTTATGGAAAATTTTTTAACAATTTTAAAATAACATATTATTTCCGAAAAAAAAACTATTTTTATTAAAATTTTTGAATAGAACAAAAAATAAGATATAATATATATTACTCTAATGAGTTTTTATTAAATAATATTAACTAAATACCATTAATATTAAATAAATAACAATAGTATTAACAATAACAATGAAACTTTTGTCTTTTTAATGCAAGGCTATATTATCACATACAAATTTCCTTATCATTATTTGTAATCATAACAACTGAATAAATTATATTAAACAAAATAATAATTTTAAATTTCAAAGTTATTATAATACATATTATTATAAGCTATTATAAGTTCAAAGTCATTATTTACCTATTTTATAAATTTAATTAACCCAAAAAACATTAGGAGCTTACATATTTCTATCACTTTTATCACTTAGTATTTATTAAATCTATAAGAAATTATTTTGCAAATCAGTTAACTGATAAATGAATACAAATAAATAATAAATTAAGTAATTTTATGAATATGTGCATTTACCTATGCATCTTCATCAATATTTGACAATTTTCAATTGAGCTAATACTGCTAATATTTTCAAAAAAAATATCGTCATAGAAGTCTTGTGTATTGTGAAAATGTTTAATAAATACCTTACATCTTCCTGTTTAGGTTGTTTAACGTGATTTGTTTTGAGCAATTTTCAACTAAACCAATACATTCCAAATTGGCTTGCTCTTCCAGTACATTTATTCGTATTGGTTTTTCTTCGTATGATGGACTTCCTCCAACAGTCTTTTTATCCCGATTGCAGGAATTTTGTTTTTGCTTAGTATTTTTAAAATTTATTTTTTTAACAATTTTTTACATCAGATTTAAAATCCTCGACGGTATAATCTTTTTCAAAAGTTTTTACTGTTATGTATTCTTTGAAAAATTAATAGTATTTATTTGGTCATAAAATGGTTTCCATTTGGAAACTCCAACTTCCACTTCGGAAGTCTCCGCTCCTTTTCGATTCGGTCAAATACCAGATCAGGCAGCATATAACTATGTCAACGTATGGGAAAGTAATGGTGTATTTCTTTGATCACCTTTACCTGATAATTTAAAACTGTAGTATCTAGTGCAGTCGTAACAAATTGATTCTCGTTCTGAGCAGAACAAGAATTGGAGAATAGATAAATAACAGTCGAAGGATTGTCTTGTACTTGAAGTCAGTTATCAATAATTTCTAAAAAGTTAAGAAGTGCAGAGGCAAATTCATTTGGACCTCTTCCACTTTCTGTCTCAAGCCAAATATATATCGAACAATTATCAGGCTTTTCAATTTTGGAGTTAAGGACAAAAATTAAATTATATAATCAAATTTGGCGATTATAAAATGTTTCTGTAATTCTAAGTTTTGGAAGGGACTGATTTTGTATCATATAAAATGAAATATTTATTGAGTTTTCAGTTGTTTTTTTCATCAAACTATGAAATTGTTGTATTCTTTGAGCTCCGAGGTTTTCCTGTAATTCAATTTTATTTGTTTCATTTACTTCATTTTTTATTTTGTCTTCTAGACCAGCACAATATCTATACACAACTTGTCTAGTTTATAGTTATTCCAGATGGAAAATGATAACATCCTATGTCAGTTCCATAATAGTGACTTTTTCGACTTTGAAGTTTTGAAAATGATCAATAATTGAATTTGTGAATTGTTCATCATTCAAACTCAAACGACTTTCTCCACGGTTCTCTTTAGGACAACCTAAATTATTAGTTTTCATATAGTGAACAGCAATAATGTTTAAACACTTTCTTGTGATTGATGTGATTGACCTAAATAATGTGGTACACACAGGTATTTTTCCTTGAAGAATGGGTAAAAAATATTTTATTATATTTCTGCCTGTTAGATGTTGGGGTTTTCGACAATTAGTTTTCACAGGTTTTACTATTGGCATCTTTGAGATTGAAAAATTTATCTTGATCGACTTAGGTTTTTAATATACTCAAATTATTTTTAAAATTCTCGATACAGTCGTAATTTATTTCAGAAATCCTACAGACAGGCTTGCTAACATTTTTGTGACTTATCTCGATAACAATGTTGGATGGGATTTTATTTTCACGTTCTTCTTCATTCCTTTTATTTGGTTTTTTTTAATTTTCTTCTTCTATCAATGACTCGAATACATTCTACTACATACTCAGTATTATTGAATAATAAGGTCTCAACTGGATTTTGATTAATAATATTAGAATGTATTTCTTCGGTACGAAGGGAAAAATTTCTTCATAAATGAATTCCATACAATTCAAATCTATCATATTAAAACCCTAAAGTTATCAAAGCAAAAAATTTCAATAATGCCGAAAAAAACAAAACAATATTTCAATGAATTAGGCATAATTTTATTTTATTTTAAAATATCAACATGCTTATATGTTTTAATAATATTTTAAATACATTAAAAATATAAAATATCGTTAAATATAAAATGTGTTATTCTGTAATACAACATTAACAATACAGTAGAATCTCGGTAATCTGACCGTTCGATAATCCGGCTACATTGACCTATATTTATCTGGCAAATAACCATAAAATGTCTATCATAAACGATATTCAAAACTTCAGGAAAATAAGTAGATGTACCAGTATTGTACCTGTAGTCAAAAAACAACTCACTCCGCTAAAATACAATCAGAAATTAAATAAAAACACTAGTTACACACGAATATAATATAACAGCAAGTAATTATTGAAACTCACATTTTTACTATCGATTTTTGTACTGGACGAAATCTATTATTACATAGCCATAAATCATTTTAGCATTGTATACAATGTTTAGACATTTTTTAAAATAATTAGTCAATGTATACACAAGTACCAATTATTATTGTTTATTATTACTATTCCTAAAATTGTACGGTATTCCATAAAATGATACACTTTGACTGTAACAATTGTTCGCGATAACATACGAAAAACACGGATGCTCCCATAGGCATTTTAATTATTTTATACATGTCAGGAGAGTAACAAAAATTTTTTATACACCTCTTTTCGATGATATTATTTTGACAGTATTCATTCACAGGGTTGTTTCAAATGCACTACCGACGTGTTCATACGTCACATTTTTTAAATTTCTTATTCAGTAGAAAGGGCACATGTTGTCACTTTTCTGGTGACACTACATTGTGCATTGAACAGATTTCCGATTTTTCTTTCACGCATAGTATTACCGAATCCTCACCTCAAAGATTTTTCTTTCTCTTCATTCATTTTTTTATTTTTTATTAAGAAAGGGGGATAGTCGGGACAGGATGTTATGCATAAGGTTTAAACGTTCTTTTTTTTTTTTTTAAGATAGAATAGGACAAAGTGTTTCATCATGCCACACGTATTCGTTTTTTTCAACATTAACATTTTAGAATTTTAGAGTACCTACCTAATTATTTATTAATTTGTTGAAAAATTATGTCTAACAACCCGAATATCGCCTTTTAATAGTAACACCTATTTTAAACACATAATTCGGATTTTAAAAAAACATTTTTAATGCGCATGTGAATATCGAAATGATAAAAACTTTGAAATGTATCTATAAATATGTATTTATATACCATTAGCTTGTAAAAAAAATCAGTTTATTCCAATATAATTCAGCCGAAAAATGCAGCGTCTAAATTGCTGAACTATATACTTAAATATTTTTGCCATAATTTTCTTGCTAAAGAAAATAAAATAGTAAATAACAGCTGTGGCTGTATATTATACAATAATTCACATATATTCCATAGTTTTTGATTTTGGATTGAGTAAACACAAATTTTTCGGTTTCTTGTTTTTCTTTTAAACATCCGTTTTGTACTGCGTCGCATGTCTCGAATTCATCAAATCGCACCGTGATGTCGATCCAAATTTTCATTAAAAATCTTTATTTTATAAAAATGAAAAATGCTCTCAAATGAAAATTTAAAAAGCAAAATTCCAGAGCTTTAATTTACGGTTTGACAACGGGAATGAACGTGAAATGCCAGTTTTGTTCATTTCTGCAAAACAATAAAAAAGATTATGCTACAATAAATATTGTAACAATCAATAGCATGTGAATATATTTGGGTAAATTACAAGTTTATTTGACCATTTGTTAACACGATAAATTCATTGTTTGATATGGAATGTACAGACACAGTTCGCTTCTAAAAAAAAATTATAGCAATTATATTGTAACAATTACATCTTATATTTTATTCACATGAGAAATTAAATATCAATTATACATGAAAACTAACATATTAAAGAGAAAAAAAATCGTGCTAAGCATTTACAGCAGATTTTATTTTGTAAATAGACAACTGGGAAAAATTTGAATCGAAAGATATAGATAATATTAGATTCGCATGGGACTTAAAGATTTATCTTTATAAACATACGTTCACTTTTATTATAAATAATTTACGTACATGAAATTGGCTCACCAGACACCAGCAACCAAGATCGGTTTTCCTCTGGCGAGTGGGTCAACTGAAACCAAATGGATTAATCATGCAAAAAATTAATATAATATACATTTATTGTTTTAAAGTTCAAGCCTCGTTATTTAATAACCTACCTTGTACACACACTTATATCCAAGTGAGAAATTTGTTTGTTTTAAGTATGTAATAACATATTTATTTTAAATCAACATTTAAAAAATCACAAACCGTACTTACGAGTATTAATCTTTTACTAAATTTTGTTTTATTTTATTATTATTTTTTACATAAAATACATTAATTTAACTGACAAAATGTGCATTCATTTAATTTTAAGACTTTTAGCGTTTTAAGTAAAAAATTAAAGATGTATTCCATGAATAATGTAACGTTGCAAATTCATGTTTCGCGAAACGTTATTCAGATGAAAATGTTATTGTTCTAAGACTAAGAAACATTTATTGAGAGGAAGGAATTTAAAATTACCCAAAATGCATAAAATACACTATTATTCAGAATAATGAAAGTAAAAAATTAATTATGTTTATCAAATATAAACACTAATTAATAATAATTAGTTGCAATTTAAATATTTTTTCAAGAAGAGCATTATAATATTAATAACTATTTTCTAAAAAATGGGTTACATACAGGTGGACATACATACATTTTTCAGCATACAAAATTGTTCTACAGATGAAGTCATCGACATGTGATGTTGTTTAAACCTTGATGTCACAAGAATTGAAAAACTGTTATTAATTGATTTTTATAAAACATTAATGAAGCCAAAAATGTATAAGATTTTATCAATTGAGAATAGCTGGCCCAGATTTGGCTCAAATTTTTTTTAAAAAACTGATGTTGTTTAATAAATCGTAGTTTAATTTAATAATTTTTGACCCGGTCGATAACTGCACAATTGAAAATGAATTATTAAATGAAACTAATAAAAAATTATTAAAAACTATTAATTTTATTTTTGGTAATAAATGACGGGTATTGCATAAACATTAAACAATAAGATACCGCAACAGGTACCAAAACAAACAAGGATGTTAGTTCGAAGGATTATTATGCATACCAAAACAACGAAACAATTTTATCTCACGTACAGCAGTCGTTTTTCATCACAATGTCATTTTGACCTTTAACAGTGTGCATGTTATGTGTATGTATTCAAATAGTGTTTGTCAGGATCGTATCTTAATCAAAAGAAACCAGTAAAGTTCGAATATAGCCAATGGCTTCTGACACAAAATATCCTCCAACCTCGCATTTCTTACCACTTGTCGTGTGGTAAACAAGTATTAAAAATGTTAAAAACACCTGTAAATTATAAAACATATTTTTTTATTCATAATAAATGTTCAACGTGATTGCTAAGCTGATTTAGAACGGAACGGTATGCAATACTATGATTTTGTTGAAACGTTGAAATACCTTAATTAATTTTAATTCTTATCTGTATACATATAAATACATTAAATCATTGTTTTATAGAGCTACACATCGGTGGATCGTAAAATCTCGTGAGAAAGTTCACGTGTTGATAATTAAAAATTGAAATAGTCCGAGATCGTAGCGATAAAGGTACACAGTCATACATGTAAACCGCGGAGAAATCACCAAAAAATAATTGATTCATCTCGTGTATAATACATATATATATAAATATTTATATTTATCATATTCACCGATAAAAGATTAATTTATATGAAACGGTTTACGTGAAGATTTGACGACCGATCGGTAATACATTACGTATTCAAATTTTTTTGACAGACATTGGACGTTCGAAATTTTCCAATCGCAGATTAACATAACCGTATCAGTTTTCCGTAACACTACTCGTTACGCGTCTACATAATTCTATGCGTGTTCTTAAGGGTAACCGCATGCTTTTGCGTTAACAGTGTCGGACCAGTTTCTATTTCTTACGTATGGTATTGCGTACACGCTCGTATCGCACCCCATCGCGTACTGTACTCGGTAAATTATACGATAATTTTTTTTTTTTTATAAATTTTTGTATGTTTAAAAACGAATCGGAAGTTCTTTGACGGTGACGTTCAGGCCGCGTGTCGATCGACGAACGGTGGCCAACATGTCCGTCCGCAATTGCAGAAAGTCCGATTCAGAATAGTAACATTATCATTATGAACCGGCTCACCCGCGTCGAATTCGGTATGGCTACCATTTCACAGGGTTTGCCGTAATAATACTTAAAAATTGGCATATTTTTGGATATTATTTTAGGGCCATCCCCTAAGAAAACGAAACACGCAGTAATCATGTTGCACATTATAACAGCGCCAGTTATAAATAACTATTGCAATGTGCAGATAGTCGGCTAAGACCTACCATGGCGTACCCAGTGTTACCCGGCAATAACAAAACACCGGTTAGCTACGTTCGGTTTTTCGTTTTATTGTTTTTCAACGTAAGCGTCCGCAAATCACGTGCATAAGGACTTTCCTCGGAAAACGCTGTGTCCAACGGTAAAAAGTGAAAAAAATAATTCCTTCAGCCGTTGCCATCCATCGTTACGTAGTGACTACAAAATGCGCTTGCTGTGCTCGTACCAGATACGTGAGGTTCGCAGCACTGTGGTTTGTAAAAAAAAAGAAAAAAAGAAAACCCCTCTTATCCACTCTAATCGGACTTTTCCGAGACAAAGTTGCACTGTTGTTGGGGTTTTTTGGAAAAATGTAAAAAAAAAAAGTTATAACCATTTTGAATTTACGGTGTCGGTCTTGGCCGAACACTGCAGACCGAATCATGACTTCGAAAAAACAACGGTCGCATAGAGAGCATCGTAGAAGTTTATCGGATATTTCGCTTTAAATCGTGATCGGACCGTCGGTATATCGCAAGTACCGTATCGCAGTGTCAATCGCACGCGACTGCAAACCTATACACGGGCTATTTGTCGAGACGAAACTGAACGCGCGTCACTTCGCGTCGACATGATCTGCACGAGGCATCCGTATGGTGAAATATCATCACGGTCGTCTGTATCGGTACCGCGAGGTAAATATTATACTAATAATGTGAGCACGATTCGAAACGCTTCAACGCCTGCAGGCTTCTAGTTTTCGTTCACATTTTGTGTTTACATCGACCGAGACAAAGAACATCGTAGTGTACGTAGTGATATTAATAATAGTAATAATAATATCGTATTGCTTTTAAGTGAGCGTCGGCTATAGGTTCCCGCGAACGCAACATAACAATGTACAATACAATCATCTCACCGGAGAAATTAATCATTGCCGGGGATTAGGGACTAGAATCGTGGCCGGCTTATATCGCGTGTGTACAATACATATAAATGAGTCCGAGGAAGCGGTGAACGTTTTCGGCGGAAAAACGGTATTTCTCGAGACACGTCGTCGGGACACGAACGCGCGCGTGTCGCCACGGATAATTATTTTTGGATACGGTTAAAAAGAGAGTGGAGAATAAAGTCGATTTAATAAAAACGCGCACGGTCGAGTTTAATTTTTGCCGAACGGACGTATAATTGTGGTGGACGTTTTCGTACGGCGAAACATTTTTCGCTGGAGGAAAATCGATGCGAAGAGATAGAGCATTATTTTGTCAGAAACGTGGTGGAAAATGTGACGGGGGCGCGGAGGATGAGACGAGAACATGACGGCGGGAATGAATTTTCGAACCGACGTGATCGACAATTCGTTGCGACGTGTTCCCGCTATACACGCCGGCGACGTCGCACATACACATCGTTATTATTATAATTGTGTTCGTCGCCAGAGCTCACGCTCGCACCTCACGTTTTCCCGGGGACGCGACGGCGGTGTACAACATTCGGTGCTCTATGGAATTCGATGACAACAAACGCGCTGTTGACGGGCGAACAACTAGAGCCCAAATATTGGGATTGCTGAAATCGCTGAAACTAAAATTAAGTGGTATTTTACTGTAATTACAATTGATTATATACATCTAAAAAAAAAAACAGGAGGAGTGCAATTTGAACTCAGGGGTACTAAAAACCCTATTGCGCCTCCCTAGTTGCGCGCCTATGGTTACGTCTTGACGCGTCGTGCCCGCGCTTCATTTGCTCCTCTCGCCAGGGCTGATGTCAATTGTTAAAATGTACGAAATGGCCCTGCACGCGCTTGTCGGACGACGAAGAGCTAGTTGAACCGACAGCCGAAAACCAACAAAACGCATTGATGCGGACACACCTTTCAGGTGGTTTCTGGAAGTTCCGCGGGACCGTTGGCCTGGTGAGAACCGTGCGCGCGAAATCATCAGGACCGAGGCGACGGCGCGCGTACACCTGCCGTACGGGTGTGAAACTCCGGTCGTCTGGTCGAAAATAAACAATCGCGTCCGTCGACGAGCGCCCCAAGCCGTGGCCGAGGACACGCGGTCGCCGTCGCAGCTCGGCCATGCGCCAGCACGAAACAATGACCGGCGAACGTTGTCAGCCACAATACACACGCGCGACGATAACAATACGGTATAACGCGCAACAATGCCATTATAACAGTAATGATAATAACAATAACAATTATAATAATAATAATAATAATAATAATAATAATAATAATAATAGTGATATTAATAATAATAATCCGACGCGATGGTAATATCATCGTACATAATCGTACGGACAACGGTCTGACGCGTTCGACCGCCTTCAGCGAATGTGCGGCTCCGTATTTAACGTGCACACGTATGTATGCACGTGTCGCGTACGACGGGACTAACGTCAAACGTTATTTGTACGCGCGTGCGAATTAAACAATGTCTCCGCCGCGGACGGCGAAACCGAATTTCCATCAAACTCCTCCCGGCCACCGTTCGGAACCCGTGTGATAACGGCGATCGTCGTCGGCCGGACAATGGGTGCCGCGTCGGATCGTGTAAACCGGACGGGCACCTGAAGCCCAGTGGTGCCCAACGTGGCCGAATTCAAATAGGGCTCGTCACTCGTGTGTCCGAATCCAAAAGAGCGCTTTTATTGGAATCCGACCCGTTTGAGCCAGCGTTTTCCATCCCGTTTAGAGTCCT